GTGTGTGTGTGTGTGTGTGTGTGTGTGTGTGTGTGTGTGTGTGTGTGAATGAGTATGTGTGTGTTTGGATCCCCTAAAGCTGCAGTTACCTGATGTGGGTGCTGGGAACGGAATTTGGGCCATACCTCCATCCCCCGAAGTGGTCAATTATTTGAAGAAAATGTTATTCATGACAGTGGATTGCAGTGCAGAAGACAGAGTTGACTCCATCCCTGCCTTACGGAAATGGCGTTCTCCTGTGTTCCTGAGCATGTCACTGAGCAAGCCATCTTTCTGCTCTTGTTTCAGGTAGCAGCTTTACCACATCATCAGGATTATATGCAGGAAATAATTCACTCACCAATTCCTCTGGATTTAACAGCTCTCAGCAGGTAACTTAATTAGGCAATTTGACTTCTGAAACATTTAAAAGTACAACATGGTTTTATTACGTGGGGGAAGGATTGTTTCTATTAAAAATGTAAGTGGGAGCTTTCTTAAACTTTTAAATCATTTTTTTTTTCTTTATACAGTCTTTATAGCAGTCACTTATGGTGAGTCCCACGGTTCTCAGATGGGTTTCATTTTGTCTGTACTTTGGCGTAACATGGAAGCTCAATTCCTTGCTAACGTTTGCTCTCAAGTCTGAGCTCCTGAGTGAATATGTTCTTGCTTATATGAGTTCACGAAAGACACGTAAACACAAGCATGTGTGACTTTCCTCTGCAGTGCAGGGCTTTGACAGGCAACTCTCGTGTGCTTCGATTTGGCAGGACTATCCGTCTTATCCCGGCTTTGGCCAGGGGCAGTACGCTCAGTATTATAACAGCTCACCATATCCAGCACACTACATGACCAGCAGTAGCGCCAGCCCTACCACTCCGTCCACCAACGCCACTTACCAACTCCAGGAGCCGCCTTCCGGCGTCACGAGTCAGGCGGTCACAGACCCCACCGCAGGTAACCCTGTGTTTTATTCAGTCTTGGCTGGGCTCTTAGGCGTCACTGAAGTTCTGAGGTCATAAACTCATGCAGCAGGTTGCACCATCTTGGCTAATTTTCATAACTAGTTAAGTACTTTGAACTGTGCAATTGTGGCACCACCTCTTACTGTTTATTTGTTTGAAAATGTTGATATAAGATATGTAAATGTCTCAAACATATGATTTTGTTCATGTACTTGACAGTATTTTCAGCGCGCATGATGTAGTATCCACAGCACATAGCCTCTATGCATACACTTAGAAATAACTACTTATTAGTTATGATAACTGGATAAGAGAGTAATTTAATGCCACATATGGAATATCAAAATAAATTATACTATTTAGAAATTAACATTTTTATCATTACATAATATTTTCCATCATAGCAGTGCATTGCTGAGAGTTAAAAAAAAAAAAAAAAAAAAAAAAGCAAATAACAGCAAAGGGAAATTGTGCAAACCAACAAGCCAGCCCCTTCCTTTCCTGTCTCAAGATGTACTGTGAATTTTGTAACCGTCTGTCTGGTGTGGACATTTTTCATAGTTCTGCCCATGGTCTTGCAAACAATTGGTTCTCCATAGATGGATCTTTTCCTATATTTTGTCTTTTTAGTTTCTGCCCCCCGATTTGTTTTTTGGGGGACAAATAACCACCAAGCATTATTATATGCTTAATTTCCTCATTACATCTTTTATTTCTTGCTTTTGCTGTCAAAGCTTTCCCCCATTGTCCTAACTTTAAAATTTTTAGCCCTTCATTTTATTGGTTAGGAGACTAGCTGTTGTTCTCACAAAGTCAGAGCATTTTTCCTGTTGTCTATTCCCAGAGCTAGAGCCCACTTCATGCCCTCAAGGGAGCATAAACAGTACAGTACAGACAGCAGACTAACTCCCTGACATAATTCTAGCTCCTTAAGTCATGAAAACGGTATTTTTTTGTAACAAATACTAATGTAAATCTTAATTATAGGCATATTTACAAATATTAAAAGATAACACCAAGTAATCTGCTTTTTTTGCACACAAAGATATGCCACATAGGAAACGATAAATAATCACAATTTTCAAAATGTGTATGTGATTTTACTTTAAGGGGGCACAATACATTATAGATTTCATTAGGAAAAAATATTGGTAACATATGTACTCATTTTAATTTTACTATTTAATGTCTACAGGATGTAACTGATTTGGGGAGAAAGTATTTTTCAGATTTCTTAAAAAGTCATAGTTTCTTACTTAAAATGAATGTTATGAATTGGCTTTTTTTTTTTTAAGTCTCACAGTCAGAAGTCATTGAGAAAAATTCAAAAGATTCCCTACACTAAGTCTGGGGTAGTAGTTTGCCTTTCTTCCAACTCTGCATGAAAAGAACCTTTGATGGTAAAATTCATGAAGTCGTTGAATGAAAGAATTTGAATGAGTCATTAAATAGTATCTGCTGGCTTTTGAGATATAAATAAATATTGAAATTAACAAAAGTATCCTTTTATCAAAATCATTTCGGGTGTGTGTTTCTTCTGAGGCGAATAGTCTTTTGGGTCAACATCAGTATTCTGTAATCCGGGAGAGCTACAGTAGCTTCTACGTGGGGTCGTATGTCGCTGGTCCTTTCTGTATCATTACATGTGAGCAGTCCCCTTCTCACCCTCCATGGCACCTGTTTTCACACTGTTCATTTAATTTTTTGATGGAGTGAACAAAGAAAGATAACTATAAGTTTTGGGTTTTTTCTTTTTTTGTTTTAATTTAGGGCAAACATGTTTCACACTGAGCATTTTTAAGTAATATTTTCATTCTTTGAGGATCTTACACAATGTACTTTTTATCATATTCATCCCATCCCTTCTCAGATCCAGATCCATCTCTCTGCCCACAAATCTCATATTCGCTATCTCTGCCATCTCTGTCTTTAAATAATTTCTATCTCTTTAAGCCCTTAAAATACAATTTTCATTGCCCAAACACTCACTCTTGGGAATGGGGCCTGCCCTGGAGCATGGGGGACCTCCCGGGGGTCACAGCCTTAAATAAAACCTGTTCTCCCTCTCCTGGCAACTATCAAATGCTAATAGCTCCTTGAACAGGGGTGGGACTTTGTGCCCATTTCCCCCAACTCCATGATGGGATTTTGTCTGGCTTGAGATTGTTCAGGTCTTGTACATGCCGTCACAGTAGCTTTGAATTCATTTGTGCAATTGCTCCATTGTGTCTGGAAAATACTATTTCCATGTGGTCATCCATTGCTTCTGACTTTTACAATCTTTCTGCCCCTTCTGCAATGACTCCTGAGCCTTTAGGACAGCCTTGTGCTATGTGTGTTCCATTTATAACTGAGCAACATGCAGGCACGTATTCCCTATACACGGACTAGCTAGGAATGCAAGTGTTTGGGTCTAAGTAATTTTTCCACCCATTTTGGACAAACACATAGAAGTATGCTTCTTGATTATATGCGAACATTATGGTGAATTTTGGTAGGAACGTGACTACTATTTCTCATTCTTACCAATGACATTTCAGTTGCTCTACTATCTGGTCAACATGGAATGCTTTCCATATTGTTGATATTCTGGATTTGGGCCATTATGATGCTGTAGTATCTTGTTTAACTTGCTATTCCCTACGGATGCATCACATGGAGCACAATTTCATTTGTACAAATCTCTGTCTTCTTTGGTCGGCCGTCTGATCGGTACTGTTGTCTGCTTTTAAATTGGGTTGTTTTCTTACTGCTTAAATTTTTTTTCCCTATATTTTGCCTCCAAGCCTCATGGCACATACATTTTACAAATGTTTTTGGCTGGTACATTGGTTTGTAGTAACAGAATTCTTCACAGAGAAAGTTTCACATTTTATGAAATCCACTTTGTCAGTTTCTCTTTCATGAATCACACCTTTGATATTGTAATAAGATATTTTTTGCCAAACCCAAGATGATTAAGAATGTCTTCTGTGTTACTGCCTGGGTGATTCAGAGCTCTGCACTTTGCGCTAAGTGTGTTGATACACTCTGGATTTGTCTTTGTGTAAGATGTAGGTGATGCTATAGATTTCAGAGAGCCAGTTGCTCTGGTATCACTTATGAAAATACTTTTCTCCATTATAGTTGCATCTGCTCCTGTGTCAGGCATCAGTTGATCATATTGACATGTCCTTCTGGGCTCTGTAGTCTGTTCCTCTGATATGTTTATTATCTCTCCAGTGTATATTGCCTTGATCACTGTACCTCAGCAGTAAGTCCTAACGTTAGAATATCTTGTAATTATACTCTTTACCAAAATTATGTTGCCATTTCAAAGCTTTTTTGTCTCATCTAAACTTTAGAACCAATGTGCCAGTGTTCATATAGTAAATGTCTAGAACAATGGTTTTCAACCTTCCTAATGCTGTGACCCTTTAATACAATTCCTCATGTTGTGGTGACCCCAACCATAAAATTATTTTCCTTGCTATTTCATAACTGTAATTTTGCTACTACTATGAACTGTAACTTAAATATCTGTGTTTTCCAATGGTCTTGGGTAACCCCTTGTGAAAGGGTCATTTGACCCCCAAAGGGGTTGTAACCCACCAATTGAGAATCCCTGGTCTAGAATTTCACCTGGAATTATGCTAAATTTCTAGATCAACTTGGTACAAACTGGTATCTTGACAATACTCAGTCTTTCTATCCCTGAGCCTGGGATATCTTGGGTTTCTTTCATCTGAGTGTTATGTTTTTCCTCCCATAGTTCTTGCAAATGTCTTATGCCTATCTCTTTCCCCCTCTTTTCCTCTATCTAACATAAGTGATGGTGTGTAAGAAAGCAATAATCTTATTTCTGTTGCTTTTTGTGTTTTATCCCTGTGATGATCAGTTATTTCAAAAGTTTTTCTCTCCCATCTTTAGGGAAGAGAGTCATTCTTTAGTATTGACTATCGGGAAAGCTGTCATCTGTGAACAAGGAGTTTATTTCTTCCACCGCAATCTATGTGTCTCTGGGTTTGCTTTTAATTAGCTAGTCTTCCTAGTGTAGTGGTGGGAAAGGATCTCTTTTTCCTTATTCTAGGGAGAAAGCTTCCACTATCCCTCTTTGTATGTGAGATTAACTGTATCACTTAAAAAGTGTGTTTGTATTAATTCTTTAAGAATTTCATACATTCTATTTCGATCATATTTAATACCAACTGACTCCTTGCCCTAACTTTACCCGTAGTCACTTCTACCTTTCCCAGACCCAACTACATGTCTTACTTCTTTTTCTTTTTTCTATTTGAAAATAATTCATTGGCTCCAATTTGTGCCGTCCACGTGCTCCTGGCTGTGAAGCCATCCAGCGGAATGAAAGCACTGTCAGTACCTTTAGATGGCCTTTATCAAGAAAAGAACCTTTGCTCTGTTCCTACTTTGTCATGAGTGGGGCTATTGGATTTTGTCGAGTGCTTTCCCTACATCTGTCGAAATGCTTGTGACTTCTTCTTTAGCATAGTGGTGTGATGAATCGCATTTGTTTCATTTTTCAATGCTGATGGGCATTGCATACCTACGATTTGGTCATAGCGTATGAGTCTTTATGTGCATTCTTGGAATCAGTGCTGATGCTTTCCCGAGAATCTTCACATTTATATTCATGACAGATTCTTGTGTACAGTTTTCATATCCTGAGTTGTCCTTGTCTGGTTTTAGTATTAGCATAATGCTGGCCTCATTGACTAAGCTGGGAAACATCCCTTCTGCGTGTGTTTTCTAGACAAGCGCCGAGAATTCAAATAGTTTGTTCATTAAACATTTGATAAAATTTACTAATGAAGCCATCTGAGTCTAGTGATTTCTCTTTCCATCTCTGATTAATTCACATGTGTAGGTCTGTTTAGATTTGTCCTTTATGAGAGTTTCAGCAGATTGTTCCTCAGAAGAAATTGGTTCATTTCATCTAGTCCACCTAATTTGTGAATGAAGGATTGTTTATAATACTATGTTTTGTTTTGTTTA